ATAAATTACAACACTAAATACAAATATAAACTATACATTACCTTATTTTTGACCGTAAGAAATCCACACTTTGACACTTGGGATTCTATAACAAGTAGATACTTTTGCACAAGCATAATTGATTTGCTGATTAAATACATTACAAGACGTTTCTTCATACTTTCCACTTTCAATTATTGCCATTTCTGCGCCTTTTAATCGACCTTAAAGTTCTTTGATGTTTGATTCACACGGTAACCAAACTTCCACCCAACACTTCAAGATCCATAGAAGCCACCAAAGATAACCACTGCCCCCTTCTCGATGTGGGTACGGAACTCAATATATGCTCTTAAGAAATTGGATTCAAGCCCTAACCCTAATATTTTAAGTCCTTGAGGATTATAAACAAATCAAAATCTGGCGTCCAGCGCCAATATAAGTGGCGCTTGCCTTTGATGTAAAGAGGCAGATATATCAACAAAAGATAAAAAAGAAAAACAAAATTAAAATGAAAAATTATGGATGGTTGAATAACAAAGAAAGACAGAAACCACGGAAGAGAAATCTCAAACCCCCTAACCAACCCTAGCCTAGAGAAGGGCACAGAAAATGTTGCTTTGTTTTTGACCAATGTGGTCATGGGGCAGGCTCAAACCCGCCCAAGGAAGGAGGGGATGCACCTCAAGATGACCATAAGCCACTTGGCCCGAAAGACCAGTTACTCTTTGTTTTGAGTTATAATGTTCTGTACTTACAGAGTACACAGATGGTTAAGATGGAAGAAAAAGAATGCATAATTGTTCGTTGGGAACAGCGGAGGAAGACAGAGTCCATGCAAGAAATTCGCCCACTTCCAAGGAAATACTTTAACAAGGGAATTCACCATTGTCATATGATAATACAATTGCCTATGCTCTTAATCATGGCTCCAATACCTACTCACTATATACTAAAAAAAAAAACCAAGAGAACTAAGCATGAGTGCTAATGGCTGTAATCAATAGCATTTTTCCGCATAACGCAAGAAGAGGTTCTTTGTATGGTACAAAAACAAAGCAGAGCCTCAACCCAATCAATCTAACAAAAGAAAATAAACATTTCCACAAAATTCCGAAAGATAACCAAAGATTAAACCAACATTACTAAATTAACATAAGAGTTTTAACTTCTACCATATATATGATATAGAAGTCATGACATAAACCACTTAGAATTAGAAAACTACTTAGAAATTCGAGGCCAATATTCAGCATAATACCCTCTGATAATCCTAACCTTGAACAGGAATAAAAGTAGAAAGATAGTTCACACTAATTGTGACGCCTAATCAAACAAGGTGAAGCACATGTCCTCGTCACTCTCTTCATTCAGTTCCTCCTGCAAATATCATCATTCAAAGCAGGTGATTAGTGGATCAATACTAAAAGCGAAGAGGTTTTCCTCTTTACGAAAGGGAAGAGAAGACAGAGAGCCAGGGGATACCTTCTTCTCTTCGGCTGCAGGTGTAGCGGTGGCAGCAGCGGCGTTAGCACCACCAGCGGGGGCAGAGAGCGCGGCCGAAGCAGCAACACCACCACCGGCGCCGACATTCAGGATGAGATCGTCGATGTTCCTCTTCTCAGCCAACTTGGCGAAGAGGCTTGGCCAGTACGACTCGACACTGACGTTCGCAGCCTTCAACAATGTGATGATCTTCTCCGCCTACAACGATCGGTTATTTTACTTCCAACTAAAAAATTAAGAAACAAAAAATTTAACAAGGCTACAAAGAAGAGAGAGAAGTAAAGAGTAGACTTACAGTGACGGGGATTCCATCGTCGTGGAGAATCAGAGTGGCGTAAGTGCAGGCAATTTCACCGGCGGACATTTTCACCAGAGATTAACACGACTAGGGTTTTCGTTTATAGAGAGAGAGTGGAGAGAGAGCCGAAGGGGGGCCAAGTATATATATAGTGTACGGTACGGCTTGCGGACTAGGGTTTTAAAATTTTTGGTCTCCTTTTCCCATGTGGATATGGTTGTGGGCCCTATGTTTGGGCCGATCGAAAGAGAAGAGACTGGGGTGGGGAATGGGAATGGGACCGGTGTGAGGAGAAATAATGGGCAATGATTTTCTTAATTAAATTTAGAGAAATGATATAAGGATAATTTTTTTATATTATTTTTTATATAATTTTTATGTATTATTAAATGAGTAAATATATTTAATATTATAAATTTTAAATGAATGAAAAAAAATTAATTATTTTATTGATATGTCAAGTTGTATAAAAAAATAATATAAAAAAATTATCTTTAAATCATTTTCCTTAAATTTAAGGTTTGCCTTATATTAAATAAAGGAATTTATGTTTTATTTGCCAAATTGCATATTAAATATGCAATCAAACCTATAAAATTATTAAAGTACTCCCCATAAAATACCATAAAAAATAATGTTATTAAAAGTATATTTTAACAAATTTATAAATTAAACTACACTTTAAAAAAATTTTCATTAAAAATATTAAAGTGTAATATAACTAGTAAGACACTTTTTCATAAATAAATGGGGTATTTTTTATGAGTTTTTTTATGAAGCACGGATATGTTCTTTCTTTTTTAAAATTAATTAGATCAAAAAATAAAAATTAATTTTTATTAAATCAATTGTTAAATTAAATTAATCTACATAGCATTGATAATAAAATTAATTTTTTATTTTTTATTACTTTTTATTACGAGAAAAAATAAATTGTTTTTTTAAGCCAAAAAAATAAAATAAAAAAACAAAAACTTGTTTTGTAATCCAAATTATATGACACTACAAGATAATAATCCTTGAATTGGGAGAAAAGCCCTGATATTGGGCTTTCTTTCTCCATCCTCCATGCAAAAGCTTAATTTTACAAGTTATTACAATTCAGATTATAAAATAAGAAACATGTAAGTAAAACAACTACTCAATAAAATTCAAAATCTTGTTAAATTAAAGAAAAGACAGCATTTAAATGGCTCAACGCTCGGGCGTGATGCTTTTCAGCTTGCGTCTGGCACTCGATTCCTTAAATATAGAAAACAAAAACTCAAAGAACACAGCAGTGCATTGGGAACTAACTGAGATT